GGGGGCCCGGTTTAGCCTCTGCTCCATCTGCAGGCTTCAGCTCTGTGCTTTCAGTTCTCACAGGGGTAGTTCTCGCCCTGGCTGGCAAACCTCTGCTGGAGGTGGTGGCAGTGGCACAGCGTGCATTGCTCTGCCTGCTCCTGGTGCTGAGCCGGACCTTGAGCTGCCTGTGTCCTGCTTCTTTCCAGGGGTTTGTGCTTTGCCACTCCATTGCTGGTGGAACGGGCTCCGGGCTGGGCTCTTACCTCCTGGAGAGACTGAATGACAGGTGAGCCTTCAGCCTTGTCCTCTTTCCTCACGGCGGAGTCTGGCCCAGCGTGGGCACCCTGCCAAAGTCGGGAGCTGGAGAGCGCTGACTCAGAGCCACCACCCCCACCCAAACACTCTTGTGCAATCCCTGGCACCCTGCCCGGGGAAGGGATGGCTCCTCGTACGCCTGGGGACTTCAGAGGCTCCAAAACTGGACTTGTGCTGTCCAAACTCTGCCTTCCTTCAGCCATTCTTATCAGGCAGCTGCTTTCTGACACCATGACTGTGCAGGGGAGGGTGGGAGATTTAGCTGTGGGCTCTGAGTGGCCATCCCTGCCTGTTTCAGCTTGCAGCCTCTTGAAAAGGCTTGTAAGCAGCTGCTTAATCAGCCTGCGGATGGCTCAGTGTTGCCTGTAGCTCCGTCTGGCAGCCTGCTCCTGTACTGCTAGGGTAGGCACTGCTGGGACAAATTCTCTCCCTCCCTGGGAGCCAACCTTGGCATGCAGTGCTGGTGACTCACTGCTGTCCTGAGCCCTGGAGACTGCAAAGGGAGCTTGTGGGAGGAGAAAGTGCTGGCTTAGTGGTGTATAACACTTGAGATGGCTGGGCTTTTCTCACCAGGTATCCCAAGAAGCTGGTGGAGACCTATTCGGTCTTCCCAAACCAGGATGAGATGAGCGATGTTGTAGTCCAGCCGTACAACTCTCTGCTGACACTGAAGAGGCTGACTCAGAACGCTGACTGCGTGGTAAGAGTCCTGCTGCATGTAAGGCCAGCAGTGCAGCCAGCTCCTGCGTGGCAGCCCTGTCCTCATCTGCTCAAAAATGCAACTTTTGCTGGTGCAAGTGCTGTAGCTGTGTGGGGTGAGCACCACAGCAGCATGTGATGTGCCTGTGAAGCCCCAGGCACAGCAACAAGTGCAATCCTGTCCAGAACGACTGAGCAGAAGGGGTGGCTCCAGGGACAAGGGCTCTGCACTAACCCCTGCTGAGCTGTCTGGCTTGGCATTTCTGCCTCCAGGATCCAGCAGATTTTCCTAGAGCAGCAAGGACTGCTTGTGCTTCCTCTGCGTAGCTGCACTGCAGCCTTCTGCCTGAACTCAACTACAGCATCGCTTTCAAGTGCCCACAAGCCCCAGCCAGGCAGCATCTTCAGCCTGCACCAGGGCTTTCGGTCAGGCCCTAACCAAGACACGGCTTGTCCCTCCCAGCGTATCCGTGCACGTGGCAGGGCAAGAGCAGCTGTGCCAGAGCTGCTGGGGCTGAAGGTTGGAGAGAGGTGCTGGCCCAGCAGCAGTGCTTTTTGGGAGAGTGCTGGGGAGCACAGCCAAGACGCGAGGGAAGAGCTTCCATTGACAGTGTCGGTTACGCTCCACAGATGAGTCAGCTTGTGATGTTGTCTGCCGCCTGCCACAGAGGGCTCCGCCAGGCCGTGGCACTTGGGGCCTGTGCTGGGCGATCCGGTGCCCTTGGACATGTGGCTGGGGCTGCCCTTCCTCAGGCTGCCTCCAAGGCTTTTCACAGGGACGATTTTTCTTTTGCAGGTAGTTCTGGACAACACGGCCTTGAATCGGATCGCAACAGACCGGCTGCACATTCAGAACCCATCGTTCTCTCAGATAAACCAGCTGGTGAGAAGGGGTCTTCCCTCTGGAGAAGCCAGCATGGGGCTTTCCTGCTGTCTGATTCAACCTGAACCTGCTCCATGGGCTGGGTGCGATGGTGGGCAGCCTGGAGCCATAAACAAGGGTCCTCTGCCCTTCCCAGGGGCAGCCTCCATGAGCGCTCCAGCTGCACAGCCATGCGGTGATGCAGACGCTGATCCCATCCTCTCCCCCAGGTCTCCACCATCATGTCTGCCAGCACCACCACGCTCAGGTATCCCGGGTACATGAACAACGACCTCATCGGACTGATAGCCTCATTGATCCCCACCCCCCGGCTGCACTTCCTTATGACGGGGTACACGCCACTCACCACCGACCAGTCGGTAAGGCAGCCCGCCAGGCACTTCTCCCCTTCCCTGAGGGCAGGAGGAGCTGCCACACTCACCTTGTAACATCCATCAGTCCCACGGTCTTGTTGTGAGCTGTAATTGCGTGTTCCAAATCCCAGGCCCGCATGCCCACACCATGTGACAGCCGCGTGTGATATGAATCAGATGCGAGCAGTCAGTTGTGCTTGTGCTGGGCTACCTGCTGCATGCATCAGGATGGCTGCGGCAGCTACGGGAGAGCCGGCAGTTGATCTGACAAAAGCCACCCTTGGAAACAATTGGAGCAAGCCCAGCAAAGTGGCCCTGCTAGTCCTGCCACCCCAGTGGGCCACCGGCCCAGGCTATTTGGGTCAGAACACTGTTCATCGTTGTCATGCCAAGACTGATCGTGGGCTCCAGGTGTCAGCCCCTTCCTGGGGCTTGATCTGTGTTCTGGGAGGGGATTGCCACCCCTCAGCTGTGTCAGACACTACCGCTTGCATTTAGCTTGACCCCAGCCAGTGCTCCCTCAGTCCCGCCCAGTGAGAACGGGGCAGTTCTGTTTTGAGAGGCACTCACCTGCGTTGGCTGCCTCTCAGTTCTGCTGGGTGCTAACAGCTGCTGTTCTCCTCTCGTGTGCATTTCCTCAGGATGTTACTCAGAGAAGCAAATCTGAAAAACTGCTGGCTCTGAAAAGGGTATCGAGTGTGTGATCTGTCCTCCCAGGGAGGAGTGTGGGGAGGGCTCAGCCAGCAGCTCAGATGGTGCCTGGAGTGGGGCTGCCACACTGCTGAGATGTCCTTGCTATGGGCACTCCTGCGGGTGCTAGCCCTGGCTTCCCATGAAAGCCCATGACAGCCCTCAGGGACTGCAGTGGCTCGTCTGCACACGGGCTCAGTGCAGGGTGAGCTGGGGAGAGGCTGCAGCATGGAACTACCCCTTCTCCTGCCCTCCAGCCCTGCTGCTTGCCTCAGCCGTGGAACAGGACAAAAGTTCGATGGCAGCAACATGAAACCTGTCCCTGTCACTCTGGTCTCAGCTGAGCTTCGCCCCCAGCCCCTGCTGTGCTGCTTTGGGGGCAGCTCAGTGCCCTTGTTTTGGAGCCTCCACCAATGCTCCAGTTCTCAGCCTGGCTGTGCCTGTTTGTGTGACTTTGGGATTTCCCTGTCCTGCATGCGGCTTTGCATGTGACTCCATCCCTGGGCTTCTCCATCCAGCTGCTCCCAGCTCCTGTGTGCATGTCCAGGTCAGTGGGAGAGCAAGGGAGCAGCATGTCTGCTCCCTCTGACCCCTGGCTGGCTTTTGCAGGTGGCCAGTGTGAGGAAAACCACAGTCCTGGATGTGATGAGAAGATTGCTGCAGCCTAAAAACGTGATGGTGTCCACAGGGCGAGACAGGCAGACCAACCACTGCTACATCGCCATCCTCAACATCATCCAGGGGGAGGTGGATCCCACACAGGTGAGCTCCCACAGCTGTTTCAGATGCCGATGGAAGTGGCATGGCCTGCCAGGGAAGGGCACGGTCACTGTCTTCTTGTGCGGGGATCCTGGGGTGAGACTGAGTGGTACCTCAGAAATGGCTGCAAGTTGCTCCTGTGTGGCCCCTGGCCTTGTAGAAAGGCTGTTAGTCCCTTGCTGTGAGGAGCCTCCCTGCCTGCCATTTGCTGCAATCCACCTTCCTGAGGCCGTATGTCCTGCAAGGAGCAGCTCCCGGGTCTGCTGGGACCAGGCTGCTTTGCCCATCACCCTGCTGCCCCTTGCTGCTCTCATCCTGCCAGGTTCACAAGAGTCTGCAGCGGATCCGGGAGAGGAAGCTGGCCAACTTCATCCCCTGGGGTCCTGCCAGCATCCAGGTGGCTTTGTCCCGCAAGTCCCCCTACCTGCCGTCTGCACACCGCGTCAGTGGCCTAATGATGGCAAACCACACCAACATCTCCTCGGTGAGTGTCTTCCCTCTGCACCACGGGCAGCGCTGGGGCTGCACAGCTGCAGCTCTGGTGTCCTTTCAGTCGCACATGCGTCTTCTCTGGGGCTTTTACAAAGCCACGGCAAGCCCTGCAGATGAGGGGAGGGCGGGCAGCTCCCGGCTGGGGCACAGTAGGGCTCAGGTCTGGTCTGGGATCCCATCAGTCCTGCTGCACCCCTAGTGCCGTTCTCCCAGGAGCAGGCTGCAGCAGGACTGCCTCTCCCTGGCCAAAGGCAGCCTCAGAAGCACGAGCTGATCCTGAGTGCTGGCTGCGTGCAGGGTAGCAGCTACTGCCCTGGGGCTGCCTGCCTGCCTGCCTGCCTCCTCCTAGGCAGCAGCCTGAGGAGGTTGGGCCCCCCAGGGAGCTCTGGCCCATCTGACTGCTGTGCTGCTCTCCAGCTGTTTGAGCGGACGTGCCGGCAGTACGACAAGCTCCGCAAGCGAGAGGCCTTCCTGGAGCAGTTCCGCAAGGAGGACATCTTCAAGGACAACTTTGACGAGCTGGACAACTCCCGGGAGATCGTGCAGCAGCTGATTGATGAGTACCATGCGGCCACGCGCCCCGACTACATCTCCTGGGGCACACAAGAGCAGTGAGCGCCCTGGCAGGGGGTGGGAGGGTCCCACGGCCACCTCCATGCACGCCGGCAGGACTTGTCTCGGCCATGCCCACATTTAGCACCCCTCAGCGCTGCCGGCCGCGGTGGAGTCGTCACACCGGCTGCACACACACGCTGTGCTCCTCAGCTGAAGCAGCTCTGCTGGGAGCAGCACTGCCCCTGAAGACCCTTGGCGGGGGACAGCCTCCGCTCCACCATGTGCCCTGGCCCAGGACGGGACTGGGGCAGCTGTGCGCTGTGCTGGTAGGGAACCTCCGCCCGTGGGAGCAATGCTCGCTCGGAGGAGGAGGAGAGTGAACCCAGGGGCTTAGAATGGGCCTGGCCCAAAGAGTTGGGTGTACGTGACCCCTGTGGCCAAAGGCTCTGTGTAGCTGAGCTAGTTCTTGCCCTGGGCAGGAGCCTTGTTCCTCCTTTGCCAGATCAGGCCTGGGGCACAGGCTGTATCTATATTTTTGTAGGTTATTTTGCTTTAATAAAGGCTGTTCCTGCACTGACGCTGCCTGCACAGCTCCTGGGGTGAGCAGCTGGGCAGGGAAGCAGCTGCAGACGCTGCCAGGGCCAGTGCTCGCCTTGTGCAGCTGGCCACCCCTGCGGCGCAGCCGCAGCATGACAGTGTCCCAGCTTGGCGGGAGCGCGGAACCGGGGCTGCTGCTCACCTGCACGTCCCGGTGGTGCTCGGGCCAGCCCTGCCCCAGCCGGGAGCCAGCCAGCAGCATGCTGTCTGGGCCTGGGCAGCACTGGGTGACTGCTGCGGCAGAGCCAGGAATACTGGAAGG